CAAAAGCAAAGCTAAGTGCTTTTGCCTTTGACACATATCCTATAGTGAAGAAAGTTTTCTTGAGATCTTGTGTTTTGTTTTAAATCTTATTGTTCCATTATCAAACTAGTGCATAAGTTATATAGAGAGAGAAGAGCAACATGGACTGGAATGTCTCCTGCTGTACAACACTGCCAGTGAATCAATGGGAAAGCAAAAAAGATAGAAATGTGGTAAAAAGTTAGGTTTAATATTTCTGAAATACTACAGTGATGTGGCACATACCTCTCAAAAAATTCTTAAGTTAGCTAGCACAGAACCAGGCATTTCTGTGCAACACTTTATACTTGGCCATTCACACACTTCCTCCTATTGCTGCTTACTGATGCCATCAAAGAGAAAAGATCAGAGTAACCGAAAAAACACAGCTGAGAGCCCTTGAATGCATACATGAGATGCTGCAGAAAGGTACCAGGGGGTGCATTGACAGAATCTATGGCCTGAATTACTGCAATGTATTCAAAAGAGCCAAACTCAGGAAGTAACAGCTGAGAATTTTATGAACCCCTCAGATGTTCTTGGGCAGCCTTAAGAAATCCCTTCTCTCTCTTCCTATAAAACGTTTATCTGTGTTGTACAAGGCTTAATGGAGCTATATCTACATTCTTTTTCCCCAGGAAGTGCCCGAAAGCTGGAGCTGCGGATAAGGTTATTCTGTCGTAGCGTCTTCTTGAACCACTGGATTCATCGAAGTGATTCTGCATTTTGGTTGACTCGTATTTTAAAGCCATGGCCAATGGTTAACCAAGCTCGCCTGTTGTATATCATCTTTGGGCCAGTGTCCTCTCTTGACGGTGAGTAGTTTCAGGGATTCATTTTCAAAGTTTGCTCCTTGAGAATGAGATTTCCCTGTAGGATGCAGCATTTCTGAATACCGGACTTTATGCAAATAACCTGTAATTGTATTGCCTAGAAAAAAATCCTGCTGGTTAACCAGACCTGACCAATATGTGTGTGCATATATATATGTATGCATAAGATACACATCCTCTCTGTGTGCACACACATATATATATACACTCATATACCAAAAAATAAATAAAGTTACAATTCAAGTGAAGAAATGGCACCTCACTTCCTCTATTCTCCTGTATTTAGGGTAAAGTTAGCTTGAAAGCACCTCAAAGCAGTGTCTGCTTCTCCGAAGAAAAGCCCCTTTCTCACTTAACTGTTAAACCAGGGTTTCTTTAAATCACTCTGTGGTTCATGCTGCAACTACTACTGTCCCTATTAAATGACAGATGGAAAAGAATCTCACTGTCACAAAGGCTGAGTTACGTTACCTGAATTCCCCTCCCCTGACTCTGCTTTAAGGCCCAGTTTAGCACCTTCCTTGCTTAAAAATATTACTTTGTCACTTAATAGCAGTTGTGATTAATATTGCTCAGGACATGTGGTTTGGCAGAAAATGATAGAAGGACCAACAGATGAGACCAGTCTGAAAGGTCTAGCAGATGCAATTAAACTGCTGTATGATACAGAAGCTAGAGAATGGACAGCAGACGATGTTATCAGTCTTGTGGATGAGCTGTCAGGTGTGTTTTTGCCTTTATCATTAATCCATAGGATTATATGCTCATGTCCTCCAAATCTGGCAATAATTGTGTTTCAGACACACGGGTGCCTTGGGAAACTGACTGCAATATTCCTTACAGTAGCTGAGGTGTGACTGGAAAAGTCATTACACTTGGAAGTCAGGCAGTAGCTGGGGAAGAAAGAAACCCAGCACTGGTTGTAAATTCAGGCTTTCCCCATTGTGAAGTATTTTAAGAATCTATGAAGAACCTTAAAATTCAAATCTTGTGTAACCATTATGAAGGAAACATTGCCCAGGCTGGGTAAGCCAAACAATATTTGTTCTAACTGAAATTCTACAGAACAACGTTAATGTTTGCACTGAAAGTTTGTTTTGGGTGAGATCATATCACAGAAGCTATTGTGAAGAGCTCTAACTGTAGTGCTAGTAAGAATTGCTTGTGTAACTTCATCGCTCTGTATTTCAGAAAGTATCTCCTCACAAATTCTGGTTAGCTACCAAAGCCAGTAATTTATAAATTCACATCTTCCAGAATGGTTTTTAATGGCACTCCTTCCTTTTTAAAAAATAGTAATTAAAAAAAAAATAATTAATAAAATTCTCTCTATTTTATTGCAAAGTTGTTCCCCGGGAGTGGCTCATGGAGAACAATGCTCGGCTTCTTATTCTGAGTGGAAACAACATCTGCTTCACTTTCATGGCCAGCAAAGCTGTGAATGGAAGAGCATTTGAGTTAGCCAGACTTGTGGTCTTCCTGGCTTTGGTGAGTACTACTGAGCAGGGCCTTTTGTCTTTCTACACCCTGATTTGCTTTCTTAGACTTGAAAACTGTGTCCCTATCTACTTCTACAAACCATGACTAGTCCAGCAAGAGTCTTCATTCTCTTTCACCCTCTCCAACACATCTCTGCAAGGTAGCAAGCCTACTCCCGAGGAGAAGTACCACTAGCAAAAGGCCGAGAAGTTCCTTCGTTAGCGTGCCAACAATAAAAAACAACCTGCATGTCCTCAAAACAAGCCTTAATTTTCCAGGGCATGCCTGCAACAAATTCAGTCATTCATTAGAATCAATAGTTAATTCTGAGATTTAATCTTGTCTTTTAAATTGTCATACTCATCACAAAGAGCGTGTTCTAACATTTCCTGTGTACATCAGGTCTGTGAGAAGGATCTGTACTGCATGGACTGGGCAGTAAAAATGATGCAGAAGGTCTGCAAAGTTTTCAGCACTCCAGGGGAGAGAAACAACTTCCTGCAGAGCGTGGAGAATGCCTTTGCTCATATAATCATGGACATGCTACAGGCAGTACTGTCCGGTAAGCCTGCAGGACTTTAATCAGGAGCTAGCACTGGCCAAGGCATCAAGCAACACAGCTGATGTGGCATAACAACCTGCCCTCCATCCCTGCCCTTCCAAGTAGAATGATACTGGAGTGCTTGAAGTTTTTGACATCGCATAGCAATCAATCAATTACTGTAATCAGGAAAGGCGTTTGTTTTATCTGGTCTTGTCACCTTAATCACAGTGTGCATCTTTCCAAGGGATGCTAAAAGCATCCCCTGGGGCAGTTTCAAGGCAGGCACTATTTGTAGAAATGAGCGTGCAAGCAGCCAGCGTGAACACTCACCCACAACTGCTAAAACAGGTAGATACACTTGGGGTGGGGATAAATTGCAGAGACTCAAACTAAGAGAATCCTACGGCCACAGATGGTGAAACCAACAGTCCTTTAAAAATACGTCCCACCAGAGCACGGGGCCTGAGCCCTTTCAGGCTGCTCTAAACACAGGCTTTGAGCAGCTGCCAGCCAGCCTGTTCAACTCAACAAGCTGCAGTTGCTCCCTGTCCACAGCTTGTCAGCCCTGATAAGAACTCATGACTGATTACGCTGGCAATCTGTACAGCTCAGTTAGGACAGATTTTTGTCTTAATGCACAATTGGTCTTGTCCATCTTTGGACAAACTGATGAAGGAATTTTGGAGAGAGTCTCCTGCGTTATTCCACAGCTGTCCTACCACCAGGTGCAGTAGCTGATGCCTTGTAAATCTAAGCAGAAGTTGCTGATTCAACCTCTGTTTAAAACACTGAAGGAGTAAGATTTAGCTTCAAAGAAGCCATTTAGTTTCACTGACCATTCTTGACTGTTTTTGTTTGTGCTCACAGGGGATCGTGATGAGGAGGACATCAGCTTTTTGAATTTGTTTCACCTCATAAATGCACAAGCTAACTTCCATAAGGAAATCCTGTACCTGACCATGAGAAGCAACAGCATTTGATGCTCTGAATTGTACAGACTCTTGCTCTACTCCTGCTGGATGTCTTTTCCCTTTCTTTATTTTAATTTTACTTTTTTACGTTTGCATAGCAGTGCCTGGTTATTTCTCTAATTTCTACCCCAGTAAGAGCTGGAGTGACAGCAGGAGAAGCTAGTGGCATACATGTCATAACAGCTGAATGAGCTCATGGAACGTACTGGGGGACCTCTAAGTGTTCAAAGCAGAGTTTCACACGTCAGGCTCCTCTGAGGCTGTGTTCAGACGCGCTGAGGAAGCGGGCTGGGGGCCTTCGGTTTGGGAACATAAACCGCATTCTTTTCCCACTGTGTATGTTTGCATACGCAATAAAAGTAACATGGTTTTCATATTTGATGCACATACACATAATAAAGAATGTTATCTTAGGTCAGAACCAAAAACATTTTGATCTTTTAATTTTGTTTTCTCTTGGGAATCCAAGGAGAAAAAAAAGAGACAGACATAATTAGAGAAGCACAGCTACATTTTTTTCCAGTTTGCCTGGGTCTCTCTCTCACTAACTCTTCCATTCTGTGACAGAAGTGCTCCATAGATTGTACGTTCAGTTTTGGCAGAAAGAGTTGATTCGTGAAAGCAATTTAACTGTTTTGATTAAGTAGTTTGATTTTTCTTTTCCTTCAAACTCCAGGTGTCTTTTAACCAATAAAGCGGAAGAAACTTTAAATCCCTCTCCCCGCCTACTGTAGTAACTGAACTGTTAACGTGTGTTTGCCTTTCATAGGACCTAGCTAAGTTGAAGAGAAGTTAAATAAATACACATAGACCAAGGTCACCATTTTAGTAAAGTATATAAATGTTTGCTACTTACAAAACCTTTGATTTTCTGCTATATTGCCTTCAAAACAAAAATACATAATATGTAATAAAACCCACTTACTTTCCTGTGCATTGCTTACAACACGGTTATTTTCTTCATGTTATCAAATACTCTTCTTCTCCACCTGAACGACTTTCCAGATGTTTTAGCGTTCCTTTAGGACTGGATTTTAGCTGCAGATACCTGTGATGAGCTTTTGAAAGCCTGGCTCCAACCGCAGGAAGCAGCTGAAGTGATACCAATTTATCTCAGCTGCCCTCACTTGATTTCGTCAGTAATGAGCTGACAACAACCCTGTGATGATTTGCTGGGAAGTTTGAACGTTAAAAACTCCTGCCACATTTTTTGAATAGACAATTACAGAGAGGATCTGTCTACATTCAGGAGTGGCTACGGGAAGTAAATCTGCTGAGGATCTTTGTGCTGTGCCGGTAGATGGCAGAGGTGAAACCTTTCCCCGAGAGCAGGCGTGCCTGCCAGCAGCTGCTCACAACATCCCTTTTTTCTAGCTGTTTGAAGGTTATGTGGGAGAGCACGCTGCAGTACCACGATTGTGCTGTAGCTACTTCCAATTTGTGAAGTGAGCAAAATGCAAGAGTCTTTGTCTGAAACCCTCTCAGTGAACGGAATGCCCCCCAAACTGATCGCTAACGATCTCAAAATCCGAGGGAAAACAGACTTGCAGCGCACATAGCCAAGAAGCAGCTGAGGCGGAATGCTCCAGCCCAGCTCGTTACCAGCCCTCCCCTTGCAAGCAGCACTCGCTACCAATAAATAACCTCAGCAGATGAAATTCGGAATAATGGAGCAGAGCCTTCAGCCGCCGCATCTCCTCGGCCCATTGTGTTTCTCGCGTGTGATGCTGCTCTGCCGTGCAGCGACACAAAGAGCTGCAGGACGGGTGGGGGTTCCCTGTGTCTCTGCTCCTGGGGCCGATAAATTTCAGCCCATCACGAGGAGTGCCATGATGCGAGCACAGCGAGACGGGAAAAGTAAGTTCTTTGAGTCACTGGCAGCAGGCGGCACGGATGCAATGCCAGCTCTGCCGGCACCAGCTCGCTCCTGCAGCAGATCCTCCAGGAATGCGAGTTCTGTGTAGCTGCCAAACATGAATTATTGATGGCTTTATTAGTTATTATTAATCACTGCTCTTTTTCTTACATACACAATAGCTCAGCAAGCGCTTGGCGTTCGCTTCGGATTTCTGCAGCGTTCACACATGCGCCAACGCTTCCACCAGATGAGGACTTTCCTTCCCCACGGATCAAAGCCCACCGGGGCAGAGCGGTACTTCCCCAACCAGATTTGTCTGAACTGGAAGACGACCCCTGCAGCATCACCACCTCGTCACCTCCCGCAATTAAACACCGCTGGGCTAACGGCATCCAGGTGGGGAGCCCCGGGCCGCGCAGCTGGAGCGGTGACAGTGACACTGGAGAACCCGGTGCATCCTCCTCCACCGATAATTTCTAACTGGAGCCAGCAGCACCCCGCTGGGATGAGAAGCAAAATTCCCCCTGTGCTGTTACCGCCCTGGTCAGACTGGGACCGATCCCAACTGCAGCCAGAGCCTTGGACTGGAGGACCGAACCCGCACTGCTCCGGCTGTCCAAAATCTGTCGTGGCCGTCCGTCTGTCCGCAGGCACCTCCCCAGCCCTGCTCAGCCTCACACCTCGCGGAGCAGCTGCTGGTCCCCAGCACCGAGCTGGCTGATGTGGGGCGATGGTTATGCAGAGCTGGCTGCTTCGTAAGGCCCTCGGAGGCGAGCGGAGCGCTCGGAGGAAGAGAAAATTATTGTTCCTGGTTTCACACTCAGCTGAGTTTCCATTCCACGCATTCCTCCTTACTCACTCTCCCTTAATCACCGCAGATGTTGACATCAGATACAGGCTGACGGAGCGGAGCTTAGCGAGAACATGACTTATGTTTGAAGAAATTCCTCCCAGAATATTTCAGGCTTCTGATTTTCGACTATATTTGGTGTGGAGCGAGCAGAAGCCACTCCAGCATTGCGGGGTGCCTGGGGCTGAGGCCGCGGTGCCCAGACCGCCCTGGGAGCCGCAGGCAAAGCCCCCAACCTCGCGTTTCTCTGGGATTTTTACCAAGAGGAAACCACCTCATGCAGCATTCCCGACCCCACAACCCCTCTCCTTTCTGTGCCTCATCCTCCCCAAAGTCTCTCCCACCAGCTCCAGCACGCCCGTGGGTGCCTGCGCTGGGCCCTGTCCTCTGCCACCCACCCCTGCTGGTGCCGTGGGTGAGGGATGGGGCGCTGGCGGCTGTCCCCGTTGGAGGTGTTTCGGGTGTTTATTGATCACAAGGAAAAAGTGCTCTGGGACAGGCCAGGGCCCCAAAAACCTCATCCTCTAGGAGGCCGACACACACGGCCTGCCAAGCGTCTGCGCGTGGAAATCTCCCACGGAGATTTCCATCGGATGAAAAATGTTTCTTTGGTGCCGCTGAGATGAACGCAGACCTCAGGGAGGTGTGGGGGGCACCCAAGGGAGGCTGAGCCCCAGTGCGGCTGCTCGGGCACCCTCTGGGCTGGGTCAGGGACCCCGATGCCTCCTCTGTGGCTGCCCTCACACCACGATTTTGCCACCTCCTCATCCTCCTGCAGGATGCCTGGCAGCCCTCCGAGGAGCGGGGTTTGCCCCCCGGGGGCAGCGGGAGGCGCATTTTGGCTCAGCACAGACACCACAGGTGCGCTCGCCCCCTCCCGTGTCATTCCTCCTTTTTATTTCACCTCTTTGAACACTTTTCCCCCCCCCCCAAAAAAAAAAAAAAAAAAAAAGTGCTTTCCAAAACAGAACCCAAATCCCGGACCTTGGAAGTGCTCATCCCAAGGGGCCAAGCCACATTGGGAGGGGGGGGGCAGGACCCTTCGCCTCCCTCCCGGCAGCATCCCTCAGTGGGGCAGCGGGCGTGCGGTGTCCCCCCCCCACCCCATCTCCCCTCCGTCACCCCCCAGCAGTGCCACCCCCGCACTGCTCCCTCCTCCGGCGTGGGGAGCCGCTCGTTTCCGAGGGCTGAGGCTTTTCCAGAAGTATCCAAGCGAGCTGAGCCTGGGCAGCAGCTGCGGGAGAGAAAGGAGATGCTCGTGTGAGCTGCGCCCCGGGATGGGGGGGCACACGAGCGAGCACAGGCAGCAGCAGCCCCCCCCCCAAACAAGCACAGGGAGCCCCCCGGCTGATTATGGGGGGCACCAGGACCCCCCCAGCTCCTCCTACGCTGATGTAACCCGGATCGCTCCTTGCGGCTCCCCAGCGCTGTTCCTTTTCTCCCCCTCATGGGGACAAAAGCCGCGGGAGGGAAGGGGCCGAGGAGCCCCCCCAGGGCCTTGGAAACCCAATGCTGGTGCCCTGCTGCCAGCACCCAGCAGGGAAAGGCTGCGCTGGGGCCTGGCTGCTGCAGCCAGGCAGGGGGAGCAGGAGCTGACGGCAATAATAAAATAAATTATAACCCCCCCCTTCTCCCCCCCCCCAGCCACGTCCCTCCCCAGGAATCAAAGCTCTCACCTGCACTGTGTGCTGCTCCCCAGGCTGCTGCTGAGTCCCCTTTCCCCCGGCATCTCTCTAGAGCATGTAGATGATGTAGGAGAGGATCACCAGGCCGACGATGGCGAAAAACATCAGGATGAAAATATCCAGCATGGTGAGCAGGCAGCCGGCGGGGCGGGGGCTGCCGGGGGCTCCCTGCCGGGCAAAGCAGCAGCAGCAGCAGGGGGATGCTCGGCACGGCGCTCGCCGTCCCCCGGCCCCGCTCGGGGTGGAGGTGACACCGAGTTGCCCGAGCCTCTCGCCAGCAGCCGGGGAGGATGAGGAAGGGACGAACGCGCGCGGTCAGATGGGGCTGCAGCCTTGCACGGCTGGAGGAGCGCTCATGCAGCGCGCAGCGGGCTCCCTGGAGGCAGCAGCTGCCTGCAGCAGGGTGGTTTCGCCCCTGCTCGCTGCTGCCCGAACCTCATTGCTGGGGGTGCCCACGGGAACGTGACCCAAAGGGCCCAGGATTTATTTGGGGGACAGAGCGACGAGGAGCCTCCTTCTCCCAAAGCTGATGTCGGTTGCATGGGACCGCGTTGAGAGCTCAGTTTTTGGAGCCCAGCACCCCCGGGCTGTAGCATCCTTGTAGCATCCTTTGCTCTGTGTCCGAACACCCGCCTCGGTGCTGTTTGGAGCGCCGTGGCTGTCAGTGAGCAGCAGCAGCAGCCACGGAGCCTCAGTTTTATTTTTTCAGCTCGTGCTGTGGGTGTGCAGAGCATCCTTCACTCACCTTCCAGGTTTTTTTTTCTCCCACCAGCAGTAGCCAGGGAATGTCACCTTTGTGGATCCCCGTTGTGGCTCTGGGTGCTCTCCGGGTGGCATCCGATGGTCCCTGCGCTCAGGGAGCCCCCCCAGACACCAAGCACCCCCCTGGCCTCAAGAAACTGCACCCAGCGACAGCGGCACCCACCCCAGCCAGGCAGAGACGAGGACCCCGGCACCCACAGCCTTCCCCTGCCCCCAGACCTCCCCCCCCAAATGTCCCAGAGGGGCAAGAGAGCGGGTGGAAAACGGAGAGAAAAGCAACCACAATTAAACTCCGGCACAATCGGCAGGTAAAAATTATACTTTTATTTTCGAGTAAACCAGGAAGGAGAATCAATTGGTCTGTTCCATTTGACAGCTCGCTTAAAAAGGCCAAATCATGTTTTATTCATGGATGCTCAACCCGAGGGGAAGGAGTACACAAGGACAAACCCCAATCAAGCAACGGATCCGGAAGAAAACACGTTCTAAGCTCAGCACCAAGATGCAACCGGGGAAGCAAAGATGGATGAGGTCTATTTTACACATGATGAGAAGCAATTTAGCTTTTAATTCTTTTTTTTTTTTTAATCATTTTATTTATTTATTTATTTTAAATACAGGTTTAGGTGCTTTTCAGCTATGAAAAAAGGCAAAAAAGTGCATAAGTTGAGAGAAAAGGCAGAAATCAAGCAGTAAGAGGTTTGTTTCCCATGGCTGGGGGAGAAAGGGGCAGGGCAGGGGCAGGGAGACTTAGGACAATGGTTTCCAGGTAGCATTAAAAAAAGGTCCGTATACCAAAATGTCATCGCCTGTGTTATTATTTGGTCCATTAAAAAACGGTTTATTCACATTGACACTTCCCCCCCCCAGCTCCCAGACAAGGACGTGATTAAGAACAGGGTGAGCAGGGAGGGACGCGGGCTCCTCCGCCCCCTCTCCCCGACCCTCGGGCTCGCTCGTTTTAGCACCGACCGGGATTCCCATCCCGTTGAACCCACCCCGGCTGCCTCTGGGGTCCCCAAAGGGATGGATGGCAGTGCCAGGAACCCCGGCCACTCTTCTCCCGTCGCAGCCGGCTGGGAAACGAGCCAGGAGCAAGATGCTCGCCTCTCCTGCTGGGGGGCTCTGGCCCCACTGCACCCCAAACCCCGTCTCCGGTCACCCCAACCCTGCAACCCGGTGTGCTTTGAGAAAGGGGACTGCAAGCAGGAGGCACGGGGTCCTCTCCCACTCCGTGAGGCCGTCCCCATGGACGTGGCCCCAGAAGGAGCCAAGGAATGTCTGAATTTGGCCATTTTGGTCCCTCGGGGCAGGAGCTCCTCGCTCCTCCCTCCCCGCGCGCAGGCTTCCAGTTATACCCGTCCCTGCTCAGCCCCGGGACCCCCGCAGCCCAAAGGAGAAGGGGACGGGGATGTGCTTTGAAATTTTGGTCCGTGATGCGATCCCAAGTCAGCGGTGGCCCCAAAAGCCACCACCGCTGGGGACCAGTGAGAGGTGGGGGGCGGCGTGGGGGCTCAGGGTGCCAAATCTCCGCTGGGGGGGACAGGCACTGGGATGCTCCCCAGCACGGTGGCAGAGGGGGAAGAGCTTCCACGCTTGGCCCAGAAGAGGCACAGGGATGGGGGCTGATCCTGCCACCTCCCCAGACCATCTGCCCGGTGGGTGGGGGGCTCAGGAGGGTCCCAAAAGCCCCGCAGCAGCGAGAGAAAAACAGGAAGGGTCCGACTTGAACCGCAAACGTTCTTCTGGTTCATCCATCCCGGTGCGAGGTGGGGGGATTTGGTCCCAGCAGAGGGTCTGCTCCCCCCTCTGCACCAGCTCCCAGCGACCCGGCTGCTTCCCCCAGCCCTGAACTGCCCGAGCACCCAGGAGGGGGGTCCCCAGGCTGGCACGGGTGCCCCAGCCCCTCCGGAAGGCTAGAGAAGGGGGGAGACTGAGGGAGAAGGAAAGCGACGGCCGTTTGGTCTCCTGAGCCCCCACCATCCCCTGCAGACAGTCCCTCAGTCCCGACAGAGCGAGAACGAAGCTAAAATTGGCAAGAGGAACCAGAGGCGGCTGCAGAAACACAAAAGAAACCGAAATGTCGGCTCCGGCAGGGCACGCTGGAGAAGGGGTGCTGGGGGGAGAGGGAGGGAGGGAGGAAGGGAGGGAGGGAGACGCACACACACACACACACACACACACACTGGGGCTGGCAGGGGGGGGCTGCACGCCCCGTCCCCTCCCGCGGCTCAGATGGCCTCCACGTAGTTGGCGGGGAGCATGCCCGTGTCGCCCGTGCGCTCCACCGTGCCGTACATCCACCCGTCGTCGATCTGCTGCACGTTGATGATGGTGTCGCCGTCCTGGAAGGAGACCTCGTCCTCGTCGGCAGCGTTGTAGTCGTAGACGGCGCGGAAACGCTTCTGTGGGGAGAGGGAGGAGGGTGGGTGGGCACGGGGCTGGCTCCAGGAGGGTCCCACCGAGCACCCCCCCCTCCGGGAGCTGTGCCAGAGCCAGGAGGTCCTCACTGGGTACCAGCGAGGGATGCTGGTGGCAGAAAGAGCCACGGAAAAAGCAAGAACCCAGCACCCACGGGCACCTTCCGAACTGCTCCTCCCCTGTGGGCACGGGGAGCAGCTTCCCAGCAGCAAGCCCTGACCCTCAGGGGATGGAAAGCGGTGGCGGGGAGGGCGCGGTGGAGCCCTGGGGTGTACTCACCCCCCCTCCAGAAGGAGCGTTGCGCTGCGTGGAGGCCGGTGCCGCGGGCTCCTTGTAGCCGTAGGATTGAGACGACAGCTGCTGCTGCTGCTGCTGCTGCTGGTAGACTGGGAAGGAAGGATTGGGGATGTCAGCCAGAGCTGCAGCTGGGCGCTGGGCTTCGGGGGGGCACACGAAGCCCCCCAGCGAGGGCGTGCAAGGCTCTAGCGGCCGACAGGGCTGGAGGGGAGCGGAGCAGAGCTGCCAGCCCTTGGCGGAGCCCTGCGCCCTACCTGGGTTGCTGGGCTGGACGTGATGAGACGGCTGCTGCTGCTGCTCTGCGGGTCTGCGGTAATTGGTGCTTTCCTGGGAGTTCCTGCGCTCCATCTCGGCACCCTCGCTGGGGCTGGGGCCCATCCTGCTCCTCTCAAACTCTTCGTGGTACTTTATCTGCAGGGGTGGAAGGGACAGAAGAGGTCAGAGCGCAGCCTGGGCAGCTCTGCAGCGCTGCTCCTGTGCTGGCCTTGGTCCCCCAGTGACTGCAGCAGACACCGGGAGGTTCCCCCTCTCTGCCCAGAGAAAGGAGCTTTCAGGATCCCCAGGGTGGGATATTTCAAGTTTTCAGGCGTGGGCGAAATTCAGGGCCAGGCTCCCAAGCCCCTACACCGCAGGAGCGTGGAGCTTTAGGAATTTCGCCCCGCACACACCGTGCCAGTTGTGCAAATCCCCAACCCACGGCCAGGTGCAGCCTGTGGCGCTCCTCAAACCTGCTCCCAGGTGGCTGTAACCAAACCCCCCCCAGGCTCTCCCAGTGCAGGAGGCCCAGCAGATCCCACCAAACCTCACCAAAAAAAAGGAAAGGGTTAACCCACGAGCCTAGGAAACCAAATAATGGCCAGGTGTGTTAATGAATACCCTGAATGCACTGCCCTGGAAGGCACCTGGAGCCCATTTGCCTGCTGGTTAAACAGTTACAGAAGGGCACCACGGGCTCCTGGTGCAGGGGGGAGCAAAGCCTGGAGGAGTCGCTCCCCGGGGAAGGGAACACTGCAGGGCCACCTCTGGGACAGCACCTTCAGAGGCAGGGGCTCAGCCTTTGCACAGCCCCATTTTGAGGTTTCCCGATGTGCAGAGGGTGTCGTGGGGCACCGTGCTGCAGAGACGTTGCTGCTGTGTCCCCTGTGAGCCCTGCTGCTCGCTCACCCTTTGGATTAAAACCCTGCCTGCGGGGCTGGGCTTTGTGCAGGCAGCGGGGCTGTTCCCACGCCTGCGCTAAGTGGGTCACTGCCACCCCAGGCTGGCAGCCAGCAGCCCCTGGGGAAGCAGCTCAGGATGGCTCCATGGCTGAGCAGCCCCTCGGGGTTCAAAGGGGGGGGGGGTCCAAGCGCAGATAGCACCCTGCAGCTCCCCAGGGAGCCAGCACGGAGCTTGCCAGAGAACTGCACAATGAGATCAAAAAGCAAGGGAATAAACAACCCCCTCCTGCCCCGCCGGGCATTGCTGTGTTTGTGCACGCGTGGGGCTCCTTCGAGCGCGCTCCCTCGTGGGGGGCAGGCACAAAACCCTCCCCCTGCGCCCTGCTGCGAGCCCGGATCCTGCTTCCCCTGGGGGCAGCCAGCAGCTCCCACCACGGCCTTGTCCCCGGGGCAGGCACTTGGTAAGGATGGAGGAGCTCCCCGGGCTGCACCCCAGAGCTGGGGCAAAGGCAGAGCGCACGTCGTGCCCGGGGGGCTGCGGGGAAGGAGGAGGTGGGCTGGGTGCTGGGGCTGGGGGGAGCTTGGTGCCTGCCCCGCTTCCAAGCTTGGTCCCACCGGGTCCTGCTCTGGGCACCGCAGACCTCAAAAGGGGCAGGGAGCTCCTGAGGGGAAACCCAAACCCGAGAGGTTTCTCCAGCTCGGCTGCATCTCCGGGGGCATCTGAGCGAGGAGCCAGCCCCCAGCCCTGCCTGCTGCTAGGCCAGGTTTTGCAACAGCTCCCGGCGGTTTGATAAGGAACAAACTCGACTTTCACTATCAGTAAAAGGTGAATTAACCCTCGGCACGCTGCTGAAGGCTTCTGAGCTCCCTTGCCACAACGCCTGCAGTACAGGGCTGAGCTTGGGAAGGGGAGAAGCTCCCAGCCCGAGGCAGCAGCTACAGGAGCGCATCCTCCTCTCGCCATGGCAGCATCCCTCCATCCATCCATCCCTCCATCCCTCCATCCATCCCTCCATGCCCATCTTATCACCTCCTAAAAGAACCAGCAGCTGGATGTGGATGGAGGGTGCAGGACGCAGCACAACCTGTGGGGCCAGCTGCCCCCCACCTCGGACACGGGGCTGCTCCTTTTGGAAGGGAGCGGGGTCCCTCGCAGACCCAGGAGGGAGCTCAGCTTCCAGGAGGCTGAGCGAGGATGGAGATGCTGCCCTCAGAAACCCCCCCCGTGTCAGCACCAAGGCAGGACGGTGACAGGAGGGGGACCTGCTGCTGTTTGCCACCAACACGTGAGCAGCCGGGTGGATGCGCAGGGCTTGGTACCTCTTTGGGTACGGCGACAGCCTCAGCCACCAGCTCCAGCCTTCGCAGGATGGAGGAGCTGGGAAATGTGTAAAAGGGATGCACGGAGCCCGGACGAGGCAGGCTTTAAGGTCGACACAGCCCCGTGTGCGTGCGAGCAGCTCCGTGCTCCCCCCCATGCAGCTCCCCCCGGCCTCCTCGGCAGCGGCGCCGAGATCAGAGGCTACTCACGTTGCTGATCTGATCCTGAGTCTTTTTGATTCTCTGCAGCTCCGGGGTGTCAGCCACCACGCTGAAGCCTTTTCCCTTGTTCTTCTCAAACTCCTCCTTGTAGCGAATCTGGGCGGAATGGAGAAAAAAAAACAAAACAAAACAGATTTAGCCATGGGGGAAACCCAGCGCACGCAGCAGCTGTGTTCAGCAGGACAGGACCTCACCGTGACCCACACTCTTCGTGACAAGCAGCAGCTTTGTAGCTGGGCCTCTGCCTTGCTCTGGAGACCCCCTCACGTACCCAGTAAGAGCAAATCGGGGCACTGCCAGGAGCCGAGGCACACCAAGAGCTTCCCATGCACCGACTGCTCTGCTTTCTCCTTCAGCAGGGGCCGGGGTGATTTGGATTTAGGCTGAATTCCCCCCGTGGCCTTGCAGAGCACAAGTCGCACGGCACGGATCACCTCATCCGTGGCAACCCGCCTGCTTGGGAGCCCCAAGGATTTCGTGAGCTACGCCCATAGGAGAGCAGCTCTGTGCCGGGGACGTTCAGCAGCCTCTGGAATCGACCCAGCACGGCTACAGCCGAGGCAGGGCGTGGGGACGGAGGCCAGCAGCACACAAACATCCTCCTTTCTGTCTGCCAGACACTGACGTCAGCATCTCTCCCATCACACCCAGGAGCCGAAAAGTCCCGTTTTTACTCGCTCCCCATTTTTTATTATTTATTTTAAACAGCTTTACACATCTTTAGGACCCAGGCTTCCAGCTGCCCTGCGGCACGGAGCCGACGCAGCGCCCCGGCCCCGGGTGTCGCTGCGCCCTCGCCCCACTGCTGCGGAAGCAGAAGCACCTTCTGTGGATGCCCAAAGCCAACCGCTGCCTCGATTGCTCCGAAAGGGAAGGAAACGCCGAGCAGCTGCTTGGCCAGCTCCGACCAGCGGCTTTGCTGCCATCCAGCCCCCCAGCAGCCGGGTGCTCGGCTCGCCCTGCGCGCTGCGGGTTGTCGCTGGAGCAGAAAGGTCACCTCCGCCTCCAGGGCAGGAGGAATAAACCTTTCGCCACCCCTGCAAGGGGGGCAGAGCAGCCTGGTGGTGTGTGAGCGATGCTGGGCTGAGATGAGGGCGCAGAGCCTGATGGAGAGGGCTGGGAGGGAGCAGACACTGCTCCCTGGGCAAGTGCTGGTCCCAGTAGGGTCAGGCACCGACTGGTGTGTGTGTGGCCGGCTTCCTGCAAGCCTCCCCGTCCTGCAGGGGGGTGGCTGCCTGCCACAGACAGACGGATGGACGGACAGACAGCTGGGAAGCCAGGCTGGCCCCACAAAGGAGTGTGTAGGAGCAGAGCTGAGTCTGCGGGTCGGTCCCACAGGCACACGTGGCTCCGAGATAAGGCTGGGAGGCAGCGCCATGGGGGAGGCACGATAACGCTAATTTCTTCCCCAAAATGCTGCCACGGAGGTGCTGCCCCAAGCCTCGCTGGGTTGCATCCTGCTGGGTCTGGGAGCACCTTGCAGGAGAGGCCCCACCAGCTCCAGAGGGGACGCGCAGGGGTCAGACCCCGCAGCTTCCACCCCTGTGGGGGGCACGGAGCGGGTCCCCACCTGGAGAGGGGGGCAAAACCAGGCAGGAGGCGAGGGAAAAAGGAGATGCCAGGGAAAAGGAGACGCCCCAGCCCCTGCTCCAGGGCACCAAACACGTCCTTATCCCACAAGCCAGGAGAAATCAAAGCTTTGGAAGCTCGTCAGAGCCTCTGCCCCCGCTTCAGAGCCATGGCAGGGATGGTCTGAGCCACGAGTCAGGTTAGATTTCCAGCTCAGAAGTGACGTTAAAAGGCAAAGGTTTAATGAACCAGGCTGCGGTGCCTACCCGGGGAGGATATTAATGAAACCAAGATGCCAAAGCACATCAGAGAGGAACGCAGGAGACTGATTTCAAGGCAGAAGCCTCTGCTGGCTTGAAAGCAGCGAGAAGAGGAGAAAAACTTCCCTGGCTGGGGTGAGGAACACATCTCGAACACGATGAGGTGGGAAGCAGCAGCACCATGGCGCTGAGCACCAGGCACAAGGAGCCAGGGGTTAAGGGAGCTGCTCCAGAGCCCGGGGGACCCCCGGAGAGGGGGCAGGAGGGGTGAAATTGCCAGCCCCAGGGGGCTGCGTTCGTCCTTTATCCGTGCTGCTTTCCATCCAGGCTCTTTTCTTTGGGATCTCCGCAGCCTGCCCGTGGGATGCCGTCCCTGCCATCGTGCTGGGGATGCCGCTCAGAGCAGCACCAACCCCCCCAAATCTCACCCCATGCACGGGGGGTGCCTGATGCTGGTCCCTGGGGCAGGTTAATTAACCCAGGAGCTGGGCTCCGTGCCACCAGGTCCAAGCACTGGGGACAGCACCAGGAGCAGGAGAGGAAGAGCAGGGGTCAGGGGGGAGCCGCTGCCCTTCCTGGCTCTGCTGCAGCACGGCCAGGTCCTGCGGGGCCGCAGCCACGGCCGGAAAGGAGGGAGGAAGTGCTCAGAAACGGCGATTTTCTGCTGCTCCCTGCCCTTATATGGGCAGCGGTGCTGTCTGCGCCGGGCTAGGCCAGATTTGGGCACCCGCTGCAGGGTGCAGGGACGAGGGGCAAAGGGACCCCCCCCTCCGCAGCCTGGCCATGGCTCCATGCAGAGCACGGCCACGTGTCTGGCATCCTGCTCCCCTCCATCCCTCAAAATCTTGAGCCCAAGTGACCCTGGGCAATGGAGGGAGATAAATGCAGGGGGCTCAGAGCTGCCTCTCATCCAGGGGCTGTATTTAAGAGCCCAGTGACACAGAAAGGGCCAGGACCACGGGACTTCCAGACCCACACCCCCGCCTCGCCCCATAATAAAACAGGATCCACGCTAACATCCCTGTAGGAGCTAGAGGAAGCCTTCTTGCAGCCCCTCACGGGGTCCCAGCTCAAACAAATTAAACCAGCGCCCACGTCCCCGTCGCTGCCAGCAGCTCCCCGAGGTGCCAGCCGTGCTGCTGCAGGAAGGAAACGTTGGGGACAGGAGGGGACAGGAGGGCTACCTGCCTCCCACACCCCCACAGCCTCCACCCTCGGGCAGGAAAAGCTGCCTCCGGAGCTCCCAATTTGAGGAGTTTGAGAGGAGCCACAGAACGGCAACCCTGCAATTTGCTTGCCGCACGTGGGCTGCGAGAGGAGGCTGCAGGCGTAAAAGCTGTCACTTTGGGGACTTATTTAGCTGCAGGAGGTATTATTATCCAGCGTCTGCCAGTGACCGGAACAGAAGACGCCCTCTCGGCACACAAACAGAGGGCACGGGGACGTGCACGAAGCTGCTCCAGCTCCACAAAGCTGTCCTGACACCACCCCGTGCGTGCGGTGGCTCCTCCAGCCCTACCAGGGTGGGACGGGAGAGTTTTGGGTGGATCGAGCTCCTCGGGGACACCCGCAAGCACAGCACAGCTCTGCAGGAAGGGCGAAGCTGCTGGGGAGCAGGGATTTTTTTTTGCTCCTGCAATCAGAATCCTCTGCGGAGGACACAGCCCCTACAAATTTCCTTACCCTAAAGCAGCTCCCAGCCACGGCAGCTCTGCAGGGATGTGACGAGGGCTGAGTTTGGCTGTAAATGCTGGCGTGGAGGCGAGGTGTGGCTGTTCACATAACCCTGACCTCGCTCCACCAGGGATTTTACCACTACACCTGCGTGCAGAGCCCTGCCTGCCCCAGCAGCGTTAGCCAGGATGCACTTTTGGGGTGGCATTTGAACCTCTCAGGTGGCATTTGAACCGGCAACCTGCAGCACAAAAGCCTCCCTGCGAGGCTGTCAGCACAGCCCAGCCAGCAAGCTCTTTGCAATCCTCTCCCCGTGTCAGCTACCAGCTCCAGTTTGCAGGGCTGAGCCCTGCTGCCTGCCCTGGAGGGGCTGGAGGTGACCTTCGCTGGTCCTGGAGGGTTTGCCCAGCTCCTGCAGTTACCAGGAGAGGCTGTCAATGAAAGAGGAGCGGCTGCATTTCAGCTGGAGTGCTTCAAGAAACACAAAAAACGTTTGCCTCTTGGAAAATAGGAGACTCCCTTTGTAGGCAGAACAAAGGCAGGGAGGAATTAAGATCTTATCTGAAGTGATTCAGGATCTCTCCTCCCTGCAGGGCTGAGGCAGTTTCCACCTGATTTGTCGGTGCCATCTCCCACTGTCACCTCTGTCCCTGTCCCCATCCCCTCCTCCTGGGCTGCCTGTGCCCGCTGCACAGCCTCCTCTCGCTCCTGCTCCCACAAATCGTATTTTCAGCACATCCCCGTGTGAGACCAGCACCGAAAAGGTGCGGTGCTGGTGTCCGAGGGGCTTCAACACCCTGCCTGCATCCCAGCCCCTCTGCTGTTCACATGCAGCCAGGTTCCTGAGCCCTTTGCCAGGCAGCTCGAGGGGAGCAGGGCCAGCAGCTGGCACCTCCTCGAGTGCTCTGGCACCTCCTGCAGCCGTGTCTCAGTCCCTTGGCCCCGTGGCAGTGTCCCCAAGGAAGCTGTCCCCGTCACAGCGCTGCCGAGAGCCGTGCTCGGAGCTCTGCTGCACCTCCCACAAGGAACAGCAGTTGCCAAGCACTTGGGATCTTGAAGTTGGTGTAAAATGTCTGTTCCAGCCCCTTCCTTTAAAAGGGGCCGTGCAGACGATGCACTGGAAGCCGCCGTGCTGGTCGGCGTCCTTTTGGTGCTGTGTAGGATGGGGATGCAGCTCCATCGGGGCTCCCCCTTCTCAGGGCACTGTCCCTGGAACCTCCCCTGCTCCTGGGCGGCTGCTCCAGTCGGGCACGGATGTCTGGGTCTCTGCACAGCTCCCCAGACACTTGGTTAACAGGGAAATGGGGTGAGTAAGACCCTGCAACAACCTCACGGAGAGGAGAGAAACCTAGTTTTGCTTGCAGCACAGCACGCACCGCAAGGAGCTGAAAGTCCCAGCGAGCTACAGAAAAGCCCCAGCAGTGCAGAGCACGCTGCCGCCCTCCCTGGGGTCTCCTTTAATAAGCAAGAACTAATGAAGAGCCTGAGTTCATTGTAAAAACAGCACTGGATACTCCAGAGCATTTGGTACAGCCTTATCTTGATTGTTACCATGGAAAAGCAGCCGTGTCCCCTTAGCAGCTCCGTGAAGCACAAAGCAAGCCCGGGGCTGAGCTCTGGCTCCCTGCTCGAGCCAAACCACGTTTGTGCAAGCCAGGAGCTGTTGGGCAACCCGCTCCGAGGAGCAGAGCTTGCCAAAGCAGAGGTTTCAAAACTCGGTGCTGGCTGTGTGGGCACCGCCAGCTCCGGCTGCTAACAGGTGAGGTCCCGATTTCCCCCTCCTCCAGCAGGAAGCACACCCGAGCAGTTTGCTTTTTTTTTTTTTTTCAGCTCCTGGCACTCCCAGGCTAATGGGGAAGAAAGGAAGGTCGCCGTGTCCTTCAGAGCACAGCCGGGAGAGGAACACGTTGATCCCAGATGTCTGCTCACCCTGAGCCCACCGCCAGGGCAAATCCTGTGCCCTGTCCAAACCTTCTGTGGACCAGCACTGCTGGCACACTGAGCTGAGCCATCACGCCTTGCTGACAGCTCTCCGGGCAGTCTTTTTGCCCCTTCCCATTGAAGGAAAAATAATTAAATGGATTCCCAGAACGGTTGCCACATCCTGTGTTCTCCTCAGAGGCTGTGACTCAAGCCAGAATTGCCCCCGGATGCGTTTTCTTCCACTGCAGCGCACTCCGAGCACACGTTGCAGCTGTACAACAAAGCTCACGACCACAGCTCAGGACCACGTCGGGTGCTTTGGGCTCAGCCGTGCCCCACGAACGCCAGTTCTTGGTGCAGTGAAGTCTCACAAAGAGAGGCCATCCACCAAGGCCGCCTGTCCTGCGCTGACCTTGCCCTAAAAAAAGCTTCTTTGCAGCAGCATCACTCGCAGCTCCCTCTCATATCCTCAGTGCCCTGGAGTAGGCAGGAAAGCAGATTGCTCCTGTGCCCCCCCAGGAGCCGAGCAGCTCCCCCTGAACCACCAGAAGTTATCAGGGTGAGCACCCAGCCCAGAGCCCTGCGTCAGGGCTGGGGACTTCTGCTGACCCAGGGACACCTCGAGGGTACAAAACAGGACGCGCCTGGACAACACCCCTCTCAGACAGGCTCCTCTCTTCCCTCTGGAGAAAGAGATCTTGGTCTGTGCCAGTCCTTATCCCTTCTATCTGTTTATTTCTGCTTGCCAGCGCTTTCCAGCCCTACAACACCTGGGTTTACCTGAAATACTCGCCTACAGAGCCTGTCCAGATGAGGCCATTTGCCATTTCACCTGATTGCGTTGCTGGGTGCCAGGAGGGAAAAAAAAACAGTGCAAGACATGGACGTGAGCAGGAGAGGCAGACCGTGGGCCGGACCCTTCCCACCACCAGGGACGAACAGAACAGCAAAAGCTCAGATGTGTGAGACACGAGAAGAGGAGCCCAGCCCCAAAATTGCTGTGCAAGGGCGTTGGGGAAGCACCAGCGCGCTCACCTGGCTCTGCAGCTCGCTCTGCTGCTTCAGGCGCAGGTTCTCGGGAGTGTCTGCCACCATGGTGAAGGACTGCTTCGGGTAGTGTCTGGGGAGGGAAAGCAGATTGTTAAAGCAGATCGTTAAAGCAGATCGTTAGCCCACGGTGCTCCTGCAGGCCACCTCCACTCCCCCCTGACCCTATGAGAGCTCTGACACGGGGCCACGGCCACAGGACAGCGGCGATGCCACCGGGTGTGCTGCCCTGCACCCCGAAGCAGGCACGTTTCTCATGATAACTGCAGCTAAAGTCCATCAGCAGCTTTATCAGGGAAAGGGGAAGGGGAGGATTTCCTCCCCCGCAGAGGGGGATGGCTTTCCAGGGCTGTAGCGTTCTGGTTTCTGGACAGACCTTAGCACATCTCCATCGAGACCTTCAATTTTTCATTAACCAGTCCTCAGGGTAACATCAGGCCAAGTAAATGCTACGAACGCCCTGGTTTTACAACAAGACTTTGGTTTTGCTTCACCATCTCTGTTGGGAAGGGTCAGAGGGAGGAGGGTGACTCTTCACTTGCTGATTTTACCCAAGTCACAGACATTTACCCTCACATCACGGCCTGCTGACTGCAGAGCATCACAGCCCTGGCATAAACCATGTCAGCACAACCCTGCCTGTCCCGGGGGCACGGGCTGTGCTTCTTATCTACTCCACTTCTGCGTGCTCGGGGAACGCTCAGGGCACGCCTGAAATGGGAGCAGGAGGCAGGAGACCTCCGCCGCGGCCTGGCTGCGAGCCCAGCAGCGATTATTCTGAAAGTGCCACGGAGCAGTTTCTGAAGAGCAGACACAGCCCTCGCTGCGGACATAAATCAGCAGTTGGAAGAACTCAGGGGCTGGCAGAAAGCAAAATATCTGATCCCAACGCTGGAGGTTGCTACGAGGCCCCTCCGAGCAGACCGGGAACCTTCACGTGGCCACCTCCAGACCCATGGGAGGTGTGGAAAAAAAAAGCAGGAGGCAAAGCAGTGCTGCAAGAGGGGGTGTTCAGCGGGTGAAATCCCTCATTGGGCTTGGAAAGAGCCTGGCAGCAGGCTCCGAGAGGCAGCAGGATGCTTCAGCACGAGTGTCCTGGTGCTGGTCCTGCCCTTGGGGTGAGGCACACCACAGGATGCCCTCTCCCCACCGTCCTGCCCCATGCACAGCCCACGAGCGGCACGGAGGAAGCTTTACAGCACAGGAACACCCGCAGGATGCTCAGTGCAGGCCGCCCCCGTGTCAAGCTCCATGCACCAAGCCCCCCGGGAAGTGCCCACGGAGGAAACCCGACGCTGAACGGATGGAAACTGCTCTCATGGGACGGAAAGGAAACCAAAGACGTCCCACGGCAGCACTTAGGGTTTGTAACTCAAGTAGCAGAGAGCAAGGAGGGGGAAAACGGCCTTCACAAAGGGCCGGAGGTTTCCCTTTCGCATGATTTAAAGCAGGACTCGTGGTGTGGTGGCACAGAAAGGGTTTTAGGAAGCCAGTTCCTAGCACAGCGCTGTGGCCGGGAGGCACAGGCCGCAGCAGCCCTGGGTTGTGTTTACCACAGAGCTGTGCTTCAGCTTGGTTTCACTTTCAAACATGCAAGAACTGGGCTAGAATCTCCTGAAAAGGGCAACCGAGCCATCGCCCACCACAGAGGCTCCTTGGGGTGACAGAGGCCTGCAGCTCCACAGGGGTTTGAAGGCTTTTAGCACGGTGCTGACCCCAATCTCAGGGCTGTAACTCAGCCTGGGCAGCCTCCAGGTCCCACATCTCCACCAGTATAGCCCAACTGGTGCCTGAACCAAGCTCTCCAGGGTTATGGCAGCTCCAGGAGCCACGGCTCCTGCCCCTTCCCAGGCCATGAGACGTTTTGTGGGTCTCAGGCCCTCGGGCTGCACTCCGGGAGCTTGCGTGCTGCAGCGTTAGCAATCGTCTATTTACAGAATCAGCATTAGCACCTCTGTCTGAGGCTAACCAAAATGTGGCCAGCTGAGGGTAAGTTAGCAGAAAGCCGGCTGCAGGGGGAGGAATCTGTCTGAAAACTGCTGGCCTCCGAGCAGGGCAGCAGCAGACACAGCCACAGACCTGCAAGAGCAGCACACACACCTCATAAAGCAGCAATGCAGGAAGCTCGAGAATAAAAATAGACTCCTCCTGAGCCTCGCTGAAAAAATAAAGAGAACCCTCCATGTGCACACAGAAACCAAGCAGATGCAGATGTGGTTTGCAGAAAGGGGAAAAGACAACTCAGCAAGCAGCAGCTCGCTGCCTGCCCCCCTCTCCCCAGCCCTGCAGCGTCTGGGATAGCAGGGGACAGACCTGGGCAGCCTCCAAAAACACAGCACCACGGCAGCCCGGCTGTCCTGCCGGCCTCGGCGAGGTCCCAGCCAGCCCCCAACCGAGCACCGTGAGGCCGGACCCGTGCCAAGTGAGCCCAAAGCAACCCTAACACAGCCCCCCGCAGACGTCTGGCGACAGGAGAGACCGAAAAGCACAAGAAGCAGCTTTAGACAGCAGATCACCGACTGCTTCGAGGATATACTTTAATCTCTGTTTAGATTAATCTGATTAGAGGGGATATAATACCGTGTGCTGGGGCTCCGTTCCCCACTCCTGCTGGGAACTGCCACGGGAAGGCTTCACGCCGGGGTACGGTGTCAGGGCACAGACCTCTCCACGCTGCTTCCCGGGGAAATTTCGGCCTTGAGACTCCGGTAACAATAAAATCTGATCCTCCACGAGGGCCCAGTGCTCACCAGGAGCAACGGACACCGCAGAACCGGGTGTGTTTTTGCCATTTACTTAAGTGCTCACGTGGAAACGGAGCTCTTGCCGTTCTGGCCATCGCTTCTGCTCTCCCAGCAGCTAAATCAGCAGGCACGAACATTGGGTGGGTGCTGCCCGGACCCACCCAGAGGCTCTGCTATGGCCACTGCTCAGAGCTGCACCCACGGACCACATTTTAGAAGCAGCAAATCAACCTCAGACGCGTTGGGACCAAATCCACGCCAGCTGCTGTCTGCTGCTAAGGGATGAGCAGCCTGGGGGGCTGAAAAGGAGGGGGGGGGTGCCTGCGTACACGGCACCAGCCTGTGGTTAGCAAGAACGGGCCTTGGACCAGGCAGTGCCAACCCCATAAGTGCACTGTCTGGGCTCACGGGGCACCGGGGGACAGGGGGAGCCTCAGCTCGTTTCACCCCAGTTACTCACGTCCTGCAGCCCTCGCCTGGGTTTCTTGGAAGTCACCGCCTGACTCACACCGAGGTCAAAGAGAACAAAGCCACTTTTTAAGCACGAATGCAGCTAACCCCCTAACGCCCTCCCCGACAGCTAATTCTCCATTTGGCAAACGAGGTCTTGATGCCAGCAGGCCTTCGGATCAGCCCCAGATCTGCCGTGGGATGGAGCCACAGGCTGTCAGCACCGCCAGACAGTGGCACGGAGCTGCACGAAGGGCACACACGGTTCCAGTTGTGCACACCAGCGAGCCTGAGCTGCATTTACGGCTCAGCCACGGCCTGTGAGCTCCGTGCTGTGAGCCTAAATCATCCCATTCCCATGGCAACCGCATCCGATGCTCCGGGCATGCCAATATCGCTCCGAAGGCGAGTCCGAGCAGCAGCCTCCAGGGCAGGAGGAAGGAAACCCCAGGCACTGCAAGGGCTGGGCACCAAGTGACACAAATCCATCCCCGCGGAGCTCAGAGAAACCAAAAAGCCACAGCTGTAGGGCAAAAAAAATAAATAAATCAATCTTCTGCAAGACAGCCAACAGTGCTGCTGCTTTTTCCAGGAGCGCTGTGCCCACAGCAGTCTGTGCCCTGCTGCAGGGCCTGGGGAGGGAGAGGAAGAGATAGGCACAGCCTGCATGGACTATGCCAGAATGAGGTTTCCTCCTCTGTCAGTGAGATTTTGAGGAACCCTCCCAAGGCTTGGGGCAGCCTTCCTCTGCGCCTTGAGCCCCGACAGACCGCTGTGGGGAGGCAGCAGCGACCTGTCCATGCGAGGCATGGGAAGGAACGCACACCTTGAACCATTTCCCTTAATATTAGGCATAATTTTTCCCCAAAGCGTGGCTCGTGAGATCCGCCAGGTAAAGGAAAGGCATTTCAGTCCTCTGGGAATTTCAGGCCAGGAGCTGCTGATTCAGGAGCGGTGACGGCCCCCCCGCCAAAGCCAGCGCTTCCCACTGCTCAGCCAGCACAAACACAGCCGCCCATATCCCCGCAACACGCCGGAGAAGGGAAAGCCATCTCATATGCATGAGAATCAGCCCCAGAAATAGTCGGCAGTAAATTAAATCTTAATGAGAAAGCACCGAGCGAGTTGCCTTGGGTTCGGGGAGAGCGCGGGAGGCAGCGGGCGCGTGGGAACCGGGCGCTTGCTCCCCTGGGATCCACGGGGCTGGTGCTGAGGATGGGATTGGACCGGTCCTGCCCTCCCCAGGGGGGTGGTCTCACGCTGTCCTGCTTCTCCCCCTCCCCATCACCAGGCCCAAAAGGAGGGAGCAGAGTGGGGGGGGGGTCCTTGCTGCCCTCCCCTAGGCGCCACCAACACGTCACCACTCAGCCTGCCTCCAGGCGTGCACCAAAGGCGCATCCTCACGAGCAGGGACCAGCGAGGAAGGCACAAAATGGCTTTCAAAAAAACCAAAAAATAAATTAAAAAAAATAAATAAAAAAAACAGGAACCAGGGGGAATTTCAACAGCCCCGACGCCACCGGGCTCGGCGCCGCACAGAGGTTGCCGAGTCCTTGACGGAGGCGGCTTTTTGCCAGCAGGAGCTCGCCCAGCTGCTGCCAGCAGCTCCAAGCCAGCACCACCACCTTCACGTCCTCCTCCAACACGTGCACGCCCGCCCCGCCGCCCTTTGCTCCTCGCCTCTTCCCCAGAAGCTCATTCCCGAAGTTAAGCCAGCAGGCAGCGAAGCTCGCAAGGAGCAAAAGTCACTCGAATCGACGCTGCAGCCAAGGCGACTGAGCCCTGAAGGGCCAGCAGAAAAACCCTCCGGGCTCCAGGGCCTCTGAACACGACAATCAGCCAAAACCAGGAGCCTTTCCAGAACAAATGGGGGGTCAGG